TATATTTTCCGGAATTGCGAATAAAAACACCTGCTATGTATTTTCCAATTCAAATTTGATCAATTAACACATTTCAAAAATAAAAATCATAGGTATACAGGCTTCTGAAGAAATTCCACAATTTTTATATATATAACTAGATAATTACCCGCGCAAGCGCGGGAAATTGAATTTATACATAGAACTTTACCATTTACAACCGAAAATTAAATAGATTTTACTGACAGACTACAGACTTATAGAGGGAAAAAATTCTTTGTTCAAAACAATCATGAAGGATAAAAGCAACGAATATACATAATATACAAATAAATTGATTTTGGGGAGTTGGGGGAGGGGTAAAAATTCACAGGAACTTGGGTCTTGGTTTATAATTATATATGTACCCTTATCGATACGTAAAAAGGCTGCCCCCCCCCCCCCACTTTTTCCCCTACCAATACTTTTGGAAATGTTAAGTGAAAGGCTGGTTGCCCCCCCCCCCTTAATACTACAGGAATTCATATAAGGGAAATGTAGTGTTGAATACCAATAATTTGGTTCTGAAAGAAGTTGGCATTGGAGAAAAACTTTTTTTTAGAGAGAAAAAAAACTGAAATGTCTTTATTAAAGCACGAAACTTTATAGCTGTAATTAATTGCATTTGAACAATACCTTATTCGTAAGTTTTCTCTCTTATTGAACGCAATTTAAGTTGATTACAAATTGTACGTCGGGTTCGTTACCACGATGCTCCCAGTACGGAAAATACATTTTTTACCGATAAACTCATAACAAAGACATGTATATACACTACATATCTATTTTAGCCTTTCGATATATGTATTCCCTGTATTTAAAATATTTTCAATTGTCATTCACTCGCCATCGACTTTTGATACTTCGCTTTCGGATTGCCATGAATTGAAATCGTATACTTAAACTACTCAACGATTGACCATTTGTCTACTTATATAATCCTTTCATCAATAAATATTAGTGTTTTTTCTGGCAATAATATGTTTCTGATAAATTTCAAGCATATTTTGCTCGTTTTTACAAAACTATTGTTTTTATTGTATTTTAATTTATATAACACAATTTGTTGTAAAACTATTTAATCAAATAACCCGATAATTACAATATTTATAATTATTTCTTAATTAAAACAATGTAGCAAAAGGGACGTGATGTTCTAGAAGCTTCTGTCAATATTGAGATCGGTGATTGACGAAAACAATTTACACTTTTCGCTTTTTAATTGGTTACCACAACTTATTTCTTTTATATCAATTAAATCAAGTGGTGATTGAATAATTCAGTGATGACATTTTATGAAATAAATAATAGATTGTTTGTTGTCATTTTCATTAAAATTTGTCAGTTGCTTAGATCCGCCAACCAGAAACGCCACAATACTCATGTTGATGCTATTTCATGGCTGTTTTCAGAAAATTGAAGTATACTTTTAATTTTATGTACGATACTTACTATCTGAGTGAAATCTAAATATAGTTTACGGACATCATCTTGTATGTAGTGTAGTATTAGAGGGGTAAGTAAGAACTCTTCTGCACCCGTTTCGAAGTTTATTTGCAAAATTTATTAATTTATAAGTATAGATGTACTTTAATTTCTTTGATTTACTTCTATCATTTAACAATTCAAAGTGTGCAAAGATTCCCCTGGTATTGCAAAGTTCCATAAATTACTTCTAATTTCATATTATGTTAAGAAACATTGGTATCTATGGTTAGATTAAAATGAACATTAATTTCTTGATATATGTAATTCTAAAATGCTTTTACGGGGTAAAATTTCAACTTTTAATTAGACCTTTCTGAGAACTTCAAAAAACCTTGAAACACATTGAGAGGTATATAATGAAAATTGTTGCATGAAAAGATTTTATTTTCAAGCTTCATTTTGAGACTTTTTGAATTAAATTAAAATTAAAGAGTTGTCCTTCCTGGCTAAGGATCGGAGTCCCTTAATTGACAGTAATTCGTCGATATATCTAAATGTCGAGTTGAAGGCCACAGCAAGTGTTTTCTTCTTTTCACGCATAAGATTTTGCATAAATTCTGCTTAATATGAATAAAAAAATAAGTGTGCTAATAACGGAGCGCAATTTGTACCAATGGGAATTCCAATAGACTGTTGGAATACCTGGTCTCCAAAAACCACATAGATATTGTCAATTAGAAACTCAAGCATCTTCTTGATGTCAACTTCAGAGTACTTATGTGTGCAATCAGAATCTGTTTTAACAAAATAATTTTGCAAATGACCAATGACGAGGTAAGTAAATTTAGTTGTATAGTTGTTTAGTTGTATGCTTATATATCTCAATAGATCCGTGCATTGAAGAGACAAAGAAGACCTGGAGTGAAGCCTCACAAAGCTGTAACTTGGTGGTCTCCAACACACCCCTCCGTGTCGGTGTTCCAATTACAGATATCCCTGTTGTCGAATACATATCCTCTGATCCAACCTACAAGTCTGAAGATCTTCACTGGATAGGGGCCATAGGAACATTCACACCATGGTTTGAACTAGCAGGTAGTTTGATGTTTATTATACATGCAGATTTGTGATTATTTCATTTATTTTCACTCGGGGTAAGTTATTAAACATGAAACAAACAATTTAAAAGAGAAAAAAAAAAGTAAAAAAGAACACTCCCCTCCTAAAGTAAACAAACTTGAAAAAAATGAAGCAGATAAAATATTGTATAAATTTGGTCATACGTATTTGTTGTTAAAAAAAAAGCTCTCAGGGTTCCGAAAAAATTAAATTTCTCTATATTTTAAGTAATTTGTCTATTTCCTCAGGATGCAACCTGTATTTCAAGTTCTCAATCAATAAACAATGGATGCCCCGTTCAAAACTTGGTCCTGTGACTCAATGTCATCAAATATGTGAAAACTGGAAAAGCTACAGAGAAATCGGAATAAACGTAAGTATATCCATGTACGAAAGGGCAACTTTCCAAAAATTATTATTTATTATATTTTTTCTTTCAAAATATTTGTAGTAAAAAAAAAAACATTTCTTTTTTCTAAAGGCAGTCTTTCCTAAATAACACTACAACAAACTATTTTAAGGGCCACATTGATCAAAGTTTTACATTAGAATATACAGGGAAAAATCAAGAACAGCAAAACCGTTATTAGTCATATTCATATGGAATCATCCCCGTGGGGATCCGGGTCCTCAATACCCCCTTGCTTGTCGTAAAAGACGACTAAATGGGGCGGTCCTTCGGATGAGACCGTATAAACCGAGGCCCCGTGTCACAGCAGGTGTTATTATTTCCCTGCATTATTTCCCTGCTCAAAGGCCGTAAGTGCCGAGCATAGGCCTAAATTTGCAGCTCTTCACCGGCAATGGTGACGTCTCCATATCAGTGAAATATTCTGGAGAGGGACGTTAAACAGTATACAATCAATCCTATGGAATCATCCTCATGTAGTATAGATTCAAGATCGTTCAAATCATGACCCAGGGGTAGGGAGGGGCCACCATGGGGAATCAAAGATTTACATATGAATAAATACGGAAAAAAATATTAATTAAAAAAAATCTGCTTAAGAACAGAGAAAACATTCGTAAGGAATATACGAAAATATCTTCGGGTAGCGAAAATATCTTCGGGTAGCCAATGTGCCCAGGTGATCAGTATAGCCCACATGAGCGTTGGGTCTTATTTTTGTTATTGTTTAGTCTACATCTTAATTCATGAAAGGATATTTTATTGAATTTTATTTACGAAAAGGGGCTGGGTGGTCGTGGCCATTTTCAGACTATTTTGATCACCTTTAGAATAAGAGTTCCATATAATGATATACAAACATGATCAAATTATAAAATTAAAAGTTATGACATTTTTCTTTGCCAAATGATAGTTGACAGTTTAAGATATCATATCTAAAAAATTACGTTATATCTGAAGGTTAATTTATTGACCCCCCAGCCTCCTTAAAGTTGCATTGAATTAAGCATCAGCGAATATTTTGGAAGCTTACTTGGTTGATTTTAAGGATTTGTTTGAGACTTTTTATCAATTGAGATTTGAAAGCAAACTAGATTCATTAGATATTTATGAAGTTACTTAAGTTCAACTTTATTGAAACGTCTCAGTTGTTTATTTGATTTCTAAAATTAGGTTTTGTTGAAAAACACAAACTTTAAGATTGTCTCAACTGGTCTGTTGTTGATAATAAATATCAATGATTACTGTTATTTGAAAACTTAGTTTTTAATTTCATCGATATTGTGACGTTAAAAAGAAAGATATTAAAGTGTCTTTATTTTTAAGGCAAAATGGTACAACGCTATGGTACAAGAGTTTAAACCGCTTAGGTTAATTTTGACATCGTTAAAGAAACATTGTTTTAATAATTGATAATTCATTGTAGGAAACGCATTGCTTTTGCGCATGTTATAATAATACGGTTGTCATTAAAAAGTTAAACTGTGGTCAACTCAATTCAAAAACCTTCAAGAACGACTTAATCGGAACTGGTACCGATCAGAGAGCGGGAAGGGGAGATTATGTATTTGCCTCTTATAGGAAAGTTACACTAACCACAGAAATAGGTTAAGTTGTTACTCAAGAAAGAATTTGTAATAATTCAAAGTAAAAATCCTTTAATTTGTTATAATGAAAAAATAAATAACTGTTATTTTCACTTTTTCATTCTTTAACTTTTTTTCTTTATGTAGCAAAACATCCTAATCACATTCTTTAGCTTAAAATGTGCGTACATGTATATTTAACTTTACAGATGAATATTTATCTTCACAGATGACAAATTAGGCCAGTGTCTGCTGGAGACAAATATAGGATATAAGACGTATCCTTGTGATTCAGCAGGTTTGTAGTACTAGTGTTGATATAACTACTTAACTTAATTAATGTATCTGAATTGCAAGAACTTCATCGTTACAATTTTATTGTTAGATATAACACAACGTACATGGATACAAAGATCTCGAAATGAGATTAAAAATAAAAGTCTTTCAAGGTGGACCCCTTATGTACGACGATTAATCATCAGCTGGAAGAAAAGCAAGAACACAATATTGACTTGAAATCTTTTATGTAAACAATACCATAAAATGTCAGACTCTTTGACATGTGTATTTTATGCTATATGAAGTAGACTGCAACACATCACAATCAATGAAAGATATACCATTATATCCTCTATCAAGGATTGAATAGGTTTTTCCCAATCTCCAATTTGGGTGTCCCTATCTTAAGGATTTCATGTATTTTTACATGTAGTCTTGGCTTTTACCCCTTTAACAGAACATACATACTAGTAATGTAAGATTACATTAATTGTTAGAGGATTATTTATAATATCGTACCCCCTCTGGTGTTTCCAAGGCCCATGTTCTCTTTTTGAATCGATTTTGTTAACTTTAATTTGATAATCGTTTTTCCAATTCATTTTAACACTATCATTTTCCGTATTTTACATATTTCTACCAGATAGCAGTGCTGTACAGAATACTTCAGTTTGTATCGCAGTCCGTAACCAGAATGGATCTTATGAACCCTTACCTCGACGCTGTGATGAAACTCATACCTCCATATGCAAGAATGCTGACACAATAACAGGTTACTATATAGCATCTCTTACGTTTTTATATATGTTTAGAGCCCCATAAACGAGCAATGAGAATAAAGTTTGAAAAGAAAAATAAAAGAACAAACAAAAAAGAGTAGAAAGAGATAAAACACTCAAAATCAAAAAACTGCACCAAAAACATAATAATACTTGATAGTTTTTGGTGTGCACATTATTGAGTGATATATTTTATATCTAATATAGGTACGGTACAGATACCATAACCACATTATACTGTAAAACGAGAAAATTTGGCGCATACGTATTTTAGCGCAAACGCAAGTGGGAATGCATTGGCGCAAATAAATTTTAGCGCTTTCACTTGGAATAAAAATATACAAATGTGATATTTTGTTTGTTTTTTTCATCCACACCGTATTTGACTTTTTGGTTAGTCAAGCGCGGAAACACAATAGCGCTTCCGTATATAAGTAAGTCATCAACTTTACTGTGGTTTTGCAATGACACGGACGTGACACAGTGTTAAGATTTATTTGGTTTTTATTTTAAATAAAAGCAGTGGAGTATTTACGCATTTTATTCAAATTAAAACAATGCATACACCGAAAGAAAGTTACTTGGATAAACGGTAATCATAATCAGTTAATCGCCATGCTTGATTGCACTGTTTACCTCGAGGCGATAGATGATTGACACGCCGAGAAGCCAAACGTTGAAGTTGCTAATGACTAGAATCAGGTAACGACTACCGGGGTATATAACAATAGTTTAATTAAATTATAATTTGGCAGAACTTTCTCGATCGATCCTACCATGTGCAGTGCTAGTGTGTTTATAAAATTCCAAGGACCCTTCAACATTAGGTAATCGCGCGTTCCGGTTTGCATGTACTTATGTAAAAAGCTTTGAACACACTAAAATATAATATTTTGAAATCTGTTAGCGCACAATAAATTTTAGCGCTCACGGGATCTTGCGCCAAAGGTGCTAAAATTAATAGTGCGCCAAATATTGTCGTTTTATAGTATTTATTTAATCTTTCGTTAAAATTGTAAATACTGTAGAAGTACTTTTTTCCGCGTGGTATTAATTAACGCTATGTACGCGGTCACAGATAATCCGCGGAAATTTGTCCAAGCGTACTTAATATAAATGTAAGGCATATAGTGACAGTCAAGAAAATCCGCGTAATTTTCTACCCGCGGATTAAACAGAAATTGAGATTCCGCGGAGTTATGACCCCGCGGAAAAAAGTACGTCTACAGTAGTTGATATATTTTAAATTTAGTAACAAATACACCGGGGACGTCAAATTTTAACTTTGAAACAGAGAGAGGACAAACAACGGATGTTCATCAGATAGAAGGTTCAGCATTGTACATCTGAAAATTAATATAACATATAATTGTTTT